TTCTAAGTATAAGACCATGTCATCTGTGAATAAGGATAGTTTGACTTCTTTCTTTCCAGTTGGAATGCCCTTTATTTCTTTGGAAGCTCTGGTATTGGGTGCATAGGTATTTATAATTGTTATATCCTTTTACCAAATTGGACCCTTTATCATTATGTGATGACCGTTTTTGTCTCTTTTCACAGTTTTTGATTTGAAGTCGATTTTTTCTGATATAAGTATAACTACTTCTGCTCCTTTCTGGCTTCTGGTTGCATGGATTATCATTTTCCACCCTTTCACTTTTAGTGTCTGTGTCTTTATAGGTTTTCTTATAGGCAGCACATAGTTGAGTCTTGTTTCTTTATTCATTCAGCCACTATGTCTTTTAGGAACTGAATTCACGTACATTCAGGGATAACATTCAGCGTTATTATTTAGTAAGGGTTTACTATTGACATTTTGTTGCTTGTTTTCTGGTTGCTTTGTAACTCTTCTCTTCCTTTCTTCCTGTCTTTCTTTGTGGTTAAGTGATTCTCTGGTAGTATGTTTTAATTCATCGCTTTTTATTTTTAGTGAATCTATTATAAGTTTTTACATTGTGGTTATCATGAAGCTTACAAAAAACATCATATAGATATAACAAGTTATTATAAGGACATGACAACTTATCTTAGATCACAAAGAAAAGAATAGAAACAAAAAAATGTTTAAACCTACACTTTAACTCTACTCCCTCTCCCATTTTGACTTTTATTTGTCTCAACTTACATATTTTCATATTACCCATTTCTTAACAGTTTGCTGTAGCTATTATTGTTTTGATGTATCTGTCTTTTGGCCTCCATACTAGAGTTATGAGTGGATTGCACACCATAATTACAGTATTAGAGGGTCCTGGGTTTGTCTGTGTACTTAATTTTACCTGTAACTTTTATGCCTTCAATTTTTTTTTTTTGCACTTTAATTTTAATTTTCTTTAAATTTTTATTTATTTATTTTTTTTACTTTCACATTGAAGAACTCTTAGTACTTCTTGTCTGATGGGTCTGGTGGTAGTGAATTCTCTCAGCTTTTGTTTGTCTGGGAAAGACTATCTCTCCTTCATATTTGAAGAACAGCTTTGCTGAATGCAGTAATTTTGAGTGACAGTTTTTTTTCTTTCAGCACTTTAGAGTTTAATTCCTTTTCCTCCTGGCCTGTAGGATTTCCATTGATAAGTCTGTTGCTAGACAAATTGAGGCTCCTTTATATAATATTTGCTTATTTTCTTTTATTGCTTTTGGGATCTTCTCTTTGTCCTTGACCTTTGAGAGTTTAATTATATATGCCTTGGCGTAGTCTTACTTAGGTCAGATCTTTCTGGTATTTATTTTCTGACCTTCCGATACATAGAAATTTGTCTGTTTCTCAAGTTTTGGGAAGTTTCTTTTTTTGTTTGTTTGAGTAAGGCTTTTTATCTCTCACTCTTGTTGAACTCTCTTTGAATACTAAGAATTCTCAGATTTGGCCTTTTGATGTAACTTTTTACATCTTGTAGATAATCTTTATTGCTTTTCATTCTTTCTTTCTCCTCTGACTGTGTATTTTCAAAAGCTTATCTTCAAGCTCACTCATCTTTCCTTTGCTTGATCCATTCTGTTGTTGAGAGCTTCTAATGAGTTTTTGAGTTCAGTAAACATAGTTCCCAGCTCCAAGATTTCTGTTTGGTTTTTACAATTTTTTTCAGTCTCTTTGTTAAGTTTCTCTGATAAGTTTCTGAATTGCTTTTCTGTGTTTTCTTGGAGATCACTGAGTTTCCTTAAAACTACTATTTTGAATTTTTGGTGAAAGAGATAACATTCCACCATCTCTTTAGGGTCAGTTGCTGGTTCCTTACTTTGTCCATTTGAGGAGATCATGGTTCCCTGTTTGCAGTTGCTTCTTATGGATGTATGTTTATGTCTTTGTATTGAAGGATTATTTGTTTCTGTCTTCCCTGGTTGGCTTGTTTTGGTTTTTATTGGATATATTTGTTTAGAGATTGTTCACCACTAGGCCACTGACTCATTTTCAACTCTAGGTAGTGCCTTAAGCCCAGGTTTGCCTTGGCTTTAATAAATGATCTAAGCACTGCCCTTCCTGACAGGGAGATTTTAAAGGTGATACCTCAGCAGTGCAGGAAGGCTGACTAGGGATTCATTCCCAGAAGAGCTGTGGTACAAATCTCCTGCAGTGTGATGCTGTTGTAGGCACTGCCTCCCCCTTTTCTCTGCCTCTCCTCAGGGATAGTTCTCCTCTCAGACACTTGTGATGCTTTCTATGAGTTAAGGTAGAGAGAGGTCTCCTGCCAGAGAACCCAAGATGGTGGAGGAGTTGGTTGCTCTTCTCAATCTCACCTTTTGCTGTATGAAAACAGTGAGTTGGAGAACAATTTTCGGCATACTTGCTGCTGGGCAGAATGAGGGGAAGGGCATCATGGATGTGAGAGTCCAATTCCTTTGCTGTTTTCTTGGAGTTTTTTCACTTCCCTGCAGCCCTCAAAACTGTTTCATCTTCATCTTTGAGTGCTGGGTTATTTCTGATGATAATCTTAGCACTATGTATTTCTTTTTGATTTTCTGTTGGTGGGAAGAGTGGTGGAAGTATGTGAAACTAGCTTGCTTCTATGCTACCATTTTGGAACTGGAACTCTCAGGCATTCTTAAATATTTCTAAACCTTAGCTTTCTCTTCTGGAGAATGGGGGTAATAAATAAAGCTGCCTTTCAGGACTTTTGGAAGGACACACTGTATTTAACTCATGGAAAGTGCTTGGCACACTGCCAGGCAAAGAGAAGGGGCTCAAATGTACGAGTTTTGATTATTTTCACAATTCTACAGTTGAGTTGGTTTATGTCCAACCCACCTAATAATTTTTGGTAGATAAAATGAGACAACAGATGGGAAAACATTTTTGGAATGTATAAACTGATCTTTTAAAAGTAGTGATTTTTCTAAATCTTAAAATCATTTGCAAAGGTTGTTTCATCTGTATATGGCTAGTTGCTTTGACATGTGCCTTTGAACAAGGGTAGAAAGCAGGTAAAGAGACAAGGAAAGGTCACCAGGAGGGTGCAGGGTTCTAAGCTGAAAGTCGAAGGAGCAAAAAGAGTCTGCCCTTTCTGAGGAAAAGAGCAGATAAAATCATTTGGGTAGGAAATCCTGGCTAAAGGCAGATTCCAGAGAACTCTGGGTGGTAGGTGAAGACCTCAGGCTTTAACCAGCAGGCAATGGACATGAAACTAATCGCAGTGACACCCAAGTGTCTCTAGCTTCTCCATAGCCCTTTGATCTGCCAAATTGTGAGTCTGTTTCTCTGACTATGTGTGTTAACATATTGCACAAAGCTCAGAAGAGTTTCAGGTAGATCTTGAGGGCCTGACAGAAAAAGGTGGTGAAGGCCATGAAGGAAGGGAGCCTGTGCCCTGGAAGTGACTCAGCCTGTGCAGGGAAACATTGCCCAGCAGAAGGCTTGGTGCCCAGCCCTCAGCCTTCTGTGACTGACTCTATGTGATGGAGAGTTGGGTCTCTGCCCATTAGAGAGGTGGAGTGGGGTAGGTAGGGGGTCCTGCAGGGTGCTTCTAAGGCTCAAGGATGAAATCTGCCCCATAAGATGTGACAGGCCCATGGATCCTCTGCTTAGACCTTGATTACACTCTGAAGACCCACCCTGGTAGAGATACTTGATCTGGATTTTGAGATTTGTAGGTAGGGGTGGGGAAGTGGGAAGGGATAAAAGTTTGCTAAGTACCTTTAATGCTCATAATCATTCTCTGAGGTGCCTGTGGTTTACAAATGAAGTCCCTGAGATTGATAGGCTAAGAAACTCCCAACTCCAGTTTCAGACATGGGGAAGCATTATAATGTGATGAGAAGAATGTGTTAGAAGTCAGGCAGAAGTGGGTTTAGACTCCCTTATTACTATCGATTTGGTTGCTTATCTGTAAGCTCCTGGGCAAATAACTTCACCTCTTTGTGCCTTCATTTCACAATTAAAAATAGGAATAGACACACCCTTTATTATAAGAGTGATGTTACAATGATCTGCGGTAGCACAATTAAGGTATATAGTGCCATATGTGGGAAATGGTAAGAAGTGGATAAGGATTAACTGATGATTGTTTCTTTCAGAGTTGAATGATATGGGAGGACTAGAACATAGACAGGGACATAAATTCAAGAAAGGTCTCCCTGCGGAAGAGACATTTCAATTGAGATAAGAGGGAGCCAGCATTATGATTATTATGGAATGAAGGATTTATTATAGTTGGAGCAGTAGCTGGACATATTTAAGAAAAAGAAACCCAGCACATCCAGCCCCCAAGGTAAGGCCATGAGGAGATTGTGGAGAAGGTGTTGGAATACTGCTGCCTCTGTGCAGCGTGCACCTCTCTGGGCCTACAGCCATGCCTCCGGAGGTGGGCCTTAGGCAGATGTTGGTCAGCAAGATCTGCCATTAGAAAGGCAAGCTGGGCACAGAACAGAAGAGCATGGGGACAAGCAGAGATGCTCCAGGTACTTCTGTGCCTGCCCATCAGCATATCTGACTATGATGAGCTTTTGAGAATGCCAACTGCTGCTTCACTTCCTACCTTCCAAAGCTTGTGCAGGTTCCTATTTTGGCCAACTCTCTCCCAGAACCATGCAACAGGGGGATTCTGAGAGCTACAGTTTCATCTTATCCAGTTGACAGCACAATTATGACAATGCTGATACATTATTTCTTATGATAGGAAAAACTTGAGGGAGAAGTTTGGGATGGAGAAAAACAGTTCTGTTATGGACATACTTCATTAGATATGTATGTTTAGGATGGCCTCAGTGACCCCTGTGTCCTGCTGTTCATGCCCTCTGTAACTCCCTATCCTTGACTGTGGGCTGGATTTAATGACTCACTCCTAGCAAGCAGAATTTGGCAGAGGTGATGGAACCTGAGATTAGCTTACACCCATGACTTCTGTTTTGGGTACTCTTTCTTGTTCTCTCATTCTCTTGCCCCAGAGCAGGGCAGTTGCCCCTCTGTTAGCTGCCTGTTGAGATACCCATATGGCAAGGAACTGGAAAAGGCCTGTGGCCAATGGCCAGTGAGGAACTGAGATCCTTGGCCCAATGACCTACCAGGAACAGAACCCTGCCAACAACCACATGGGAGAGTCTGGAAGCAAATTTTCCTTTGGTTACACCTTCAGATGAGATTGCAGCTCCATCCAGTAGCCTGACCATAATCTCATGGCAGAACCTCAGCTAGAAGCACCCAGGTAAGTGGCACCAGATTTCTCATTTACAGAAAATGTGACATAAAAAGTGTTGTTGTTTTAAACCACTAAATTTGGGGGGTAATTTGTGATATAGCAATAGATAATCAGTAGAGACATTCAAATGAATATTTGTGCTTGGAGCTTAAGGGAGAGGTCAAAGGTAGAGTAAGTCTTTAGGAGTCTTTAGTATTTGATGGCACTTAAAACCATGGAACTGGATAAGATGATTAAAGTAGGAACAGTGATCAGAGGAGAGCAGAGCTCTGAGGAGTGAGCCTTGGGCTTGCCAGCATTCAGGTTTGGCCAAAGGAGGGAAATTTAGCAAAGCAAATGCGCATGAAGATGCCAAGGTGGAAGGAAGAAGAGCAGAAGGGTGTGGTGTCAGGAGTCGGGAGAAAATTGTGTCAAGGAGAGAAGTCTGTGCTGTGTGAGTTCAGTTAAGGTCAATACCTCTGAGAAGTGGCCATTGACTTTGACTACACGGAGTTGGTTGGCAACCTGGACCAGCAGCTGGAGTGGAAGAGAAGCCCAGTTGGAGAGAACTGGGGAAAGCAGGGAGCAGGGAGGTAATTGTGTTCCTGAATAGGCATTAGGAAGTGTGTCCAAAAAATATGGACTTTCCTTTTCAATTCCACTAAAACTGTTTACTTTCCTGTGGTCTTTGGAGATGGGAGGCAGGAGAAGAAGACAAAGGGCTGAGTAGAGGGTGGCGTTAGGGAACTTGATTGACATAGCTGAAGCAAGTTTGATGGCAGAGCCAGGGGGCTCATGTGGTTTACATCCTATTTGGGTTAATTAGTTAATGAAATCACTTTTGCAAAATTATAAGAGAAGTCTGACATGGTTGACTCCATCTTGCTTCTAGTCTCACAGGCTGGCTGTCTTCACTCATTCTTGGGCTTAGTCCAAGCTAACTTCGGGAAACATTTAGTTTATAGTATAAATGATAACAGGCCTTCCCCAAAACTCAACCACCTTTCTAAAGTTAATGAACGGCCACGAGGTTAAGAGGATGTGAGGAGCCAGAATTCTGCTAAGGCGTAGACATAAACCATTACCAGTCATTATTCCGGAAGTCACAAGATATGCAACTTTCCCAATTACTCCTGCGGAGAACACCGCTATTGTAGCTCTTAAAATTGGCCATTTGCGTTATCTTTTCAGGTTTCTGCATTTCTGACTACCGATGGCTCTACCTGGCCCTTCCCTGACCTAACTTGTCCTGTGGCCCCCACCCAGAAGTAGAATCCCTGGCTTACCAAACTATCCTTGAAAAACCCTAGCCTCCAAATTTTCAGAGATTGATTTGAGTAATATCTCTGTCTGCCATGTGGTGTGGCTGGCCTTGTGTCTAGTAAACTGTTTCTTTATTGCAATGTCACTGTCTGGTTTTGTCTGTGCAGTGGGTAAGAAGAACCCATTGGACACAGGCATTAAGATAGTTTCTTTGTATTGTCTGAACTAGAAATCTATCCTTCAGCCATTCAATACTCTGCACAGGGACTCTGCCAGGCAGTGATGATCCATCATCAAGTCAGACATGATGCAAAGGGGAGAGAATCCAGGGTCTGGAGAGGGACAGACGATTTCATAAACAGTATAGGACCTGTGAGTAGTCCAAGTGTAACAGAGTTGCATCCTAGCACTAAGGGAGAGAGAGAAAAAGGGCCCAAGCTTGCTGGAGGGTGTGAATGAAGACTTCCTGGAGGAGGTGGCCCCTAGTGGAGCTTAAAGACTTGTGGTTATTGTGATTATCAAATATTCCAGGCCTCTTCCTGCCCTGCCCTCCAACCCCACCTGCTATTTCTCCTCCAACTCTTCCCTTCCAAGTTGCCCACTGCTGTCCAGCTTTTCCCTTCCCCAAACATCTCTCCTTTCTCCTTCCAGTTATCTCCCTTGCCCTCCCCCTTTCTTTTCTCCCTCCTCCCTTCTCCACTAGCCTCCACTGCTCTTTTCTCCCCTTCCCTCCCCTTCCCTGGCCCAGGATGAAAGCCCTTCCACAGCCTCCCAGCTGATGAATTATGCATGCCTTTCAGCGGGTGTGCCTGGCATCCAATTAGGGCCTTGGCCAGGTTGATCACTTAGACAGATTAAAATGTAATTCATTGGGGTTGACATTTAAGCCCCAGTGTGAATGGCGGTGAGGAGAAGTAAATGCTCTCCGGGTACCTGGTGTGTATTTGGGGGTAGGGGAGGCTCTCAGCTACCTGTACTTGCTTAACTAATTCCAGCCTGGAGTAATGTCAGTATGCACACTGGGCCTCTGATGCACAGTGGAACGGGGGAAAGGTCCAAGGCAGGCTTTGAGCCAAAGCAGGCTTTAAAAAAATCAAAAAACTTTTTATTTAGAACTAATTTGAGATTTACGCAAGAGTAGTGATATTAGTACAGAGAGTTCCCATATGCCCGTCACTGAGCTCTCCCTCATGTTAACATCTTATGTAACCATGGCACAAGGATCAAAACTAAGAAATTGATGAGGGCACAATACCATTAACTAAACTACTAACGTTTTTCCCATTTCACCCAGTTTCCCACCAGGGTCGTTTTTCTGTTCCAGGATCCAGGCCAGGAGCCCACATTCTAAAGCAACCCTGTGGGATCGTGCCTCTCCAAGGACAGCAATTCCTCCCTGATCCTCAGACCAGCATTTCTCAAACTTTAGGGTCCAGAGAGTTATCAGGGATTTTGTTTAAAGGACGTGTCCTTCCCTAGACATTCTGATGCAGCGAGTCTTAGGTAGAACCCTGGCACATCCTTAACAAGCATCCCCAGCCAGACATACACTCCCAGCTAACTGGCTGGTTCCTGGATTCTTTGTAAGTCAGGTCTCAACTTGCAGATTTCCTTCATCCCCTGGCTTAGCCTCAGAAAACAGCAGCGTTACCCCCACCAGCAGCTACTACCAGACCCTGGGGAGATGGCTGGACTAACACAAAATCCTGATTTTGACCACTGGGTCGGACACATCATCTGCCAGGCCTAACCCCCTGGTTAAATCCTACCTGAAGAGGAGAGAAAGTGACATTTACCTGCCAGTCACAGATACATACATATTTTCATGTAATCTAAACAGTAACTGCTGTAAGTAGATACTATTTCCCCCATCTTATAGGTGTGGAAACTGAAAAAAGTGTTATTAAGGGTAGTGATATTGCCAGATTTTGCAAATAAAAATATTAGAGCCCTAGTAAAAGTTGAACTTTAGATAAGACAATTCTGGAGACATACTTATATTTTTAAAAGTTGTCATTTATTGGAAATTTGCATTTAACTGGACCTCCTGTATTTTATCTTGCAGCCCTGAGGAAGTGATAAGTCTGTGGCTGCAGAGCTCGTCAGCAGGCCCGGATGTGGATCTCACTCTGATGTCTACAGCACAGGGTACCCTGTGCTCGCCAGCTCAATGCCTGCCTCGCCTAGTGAGCTGCAGGCAGCATGAGGTAGGGGCTGTATGGATTTGTTTCCTGCTGTATCTCCAAGGCCTGGCACCATATGGCAGTAGACACTTAATAAATATTTGTTAAATAAATGAATGACTAAATGCATTCATGAAGGGACTCAATACTCTCTTTATACCAGGGAAGGCTCCAGATGATGATGATTAAACAGAAAGGCTGAGCTGACTAGGTTTAAACCACCTTTGCAAAATTATAAATTATAACTGAGGAAATTAGGACAGTGAAAGAAATCAGACCTAACTGACTCCATCTTGCTTCTAACTTTTAAGCTGTCCTTGCTCATTCCTGGGTATAGACCAAACTAACTTTGGGAAGGGATTCAGTTCATGGTTTGACTCTGAAACAAAATGGATAATAACCCTTTCCCCAAAAGACCCTCTTCTTGCCTGGGGACCAGTTTGCTTTTGCAGGACTAACTAATTAGCTACAGATTAGAAATCACAGTTTAGGGGCCATGCAGCCTCTGGCTCCAAGAGTCTGAACCTTCCCAAATTGCTCCTGGGGATAACATCACTAATGTAAAACCTAAAATCGGTGCTTGAGATATTTTGCAGATCCTGCACTCCATGGATCAGCTGACACCACCCAGACCCGTAATCTGACTCAACCAGTTTCGCCATCCCACCCAGGAACAGAGATAGCAAGAAAACCTCACTTTGACCCCCTATAATTCCATCTCCAACCTGACCAATCAGAACTTCCCACTTTTCAAGTTTCCACCTGCCAAATTATCTTTAAGAACTCTGATTCCCAAATGATTTTATTACTCAAATCAGGGAAATTGATTTGAGTAATAAAAAAACTCCAGTCTTCTGCACAACTGGTTCTGCCTTGCGTGAATTACTCTTTCTCTATTGCAATTCCTCTGTCTTGATAAATCTGCTCTGTCTAGGCAGTGGGCCAGGTGAACCCAGGGTGGTTACAAGGGCTGGGTGATAAAATTGCCTCTAGGTAGGCAAGAGGAGTTGGAGGTCTGTGGCCTCGTCCCCACACTTGGGGGCTCAGTTCTTCCACACTGAACAATGGCAAGGAGCCCTTTTTGTCTCCACCTCTCAGGACCTCTGGTTTCTCAAAGGTGAAATGGGATTGTGTCTCTTCCGACTCTAGGCTTCTGTGACTCCATGCTTTTTCTTCCTTAACCCCACCCTCTAGTAGGCAGAGAATATGGCCAGAATAGAGGATTTGCTGCTGAACATGGCACATCTCCTTCCCAGGTCACTGTTTCTTCTCCCTTGTCTTCTCCTTCCCCCTGCTCCTTCTCTTCCTCCTCTTCCTCTTCCGCTTCTTCCTGCTTCTCCTCCTCCTCCATGCCCCCATCCTCCATCTCATTCTCCTCCTCCTCTTTCTCTTCCTCCTCAACCTCCTTTTCCTATTCCTCCTCCTCCTCCTTCATGCCAACCTTCTGAGCACCCCCTTGGTGCCTGGCCTTGCATTTTTTCTTCCTCGAATGCTCCCTTCCACCCTAGCAGATAAAATCAGAAGCCCAGAGAGACCCGGCACAGCACAGTTCCTCACAGACAAGGAAAGACGTTGGGAGCGCATTGTGTCTTTTAAAATAGACCTGTTGTCGTCGGAATGTATTTTTAGCCATGGGAGAGACTGGCATGCACTCAGTGCCACCATCTGCCAAAGGCAGTTGCTAGGCAACTGACACTGACGACAGCGAGGAGATGACTTCATGGAGGATCTGGGGACCCTGGTGGCCCAATCCCGCTTCCCTGTCTAATGCCTGCATGCCAACAGTCAGGCCCACGAGAATACACGCTCCTCTCCTTCTGGGAGGGGTGGGGAGTTGATTCAAGGCCTGTCAGCTGAGCACATTGGTTGCTGCACAGGTAACAAGGGACAATGAGCCATCACTATCACTGTGACTGGTAGATTTTCTATTTAGGAACTTCAGATGCAACTGTGGTCTAAGATGGGGGCTCTGAATTAAACTAGACCAAAGAATACACATTCCTTTCCCTTGCAGCCCCGTAGGTACTGGTCTGAGTCCAGGCAGGAGCTGTTTGGAGGTAGCTGGCCCAGAGGAGGCTTCATAGACAAAGAGCAGGTCAGTGGCCAGGACCCCGGATTATGGCCCAGTTCTGTATTTTGCTCTCTTTGTGAGTTGATGAGTCTTTTCCCTTTCCTGGCCCCACTTTTTGTCACCTTCCAAGAAGGGATACTGCACCAGATAAAATACAATTATGGGAATAAAAAACAGAATAAGCACATAATAGAAAACCTGTAAGCCAGATCTGGGTTTGCTCATGTGATACTTCAGGTAAGATACTGAAATTCTCAGTGCCTTCCTCTCTTTATCTGCAAACAATTGTAGTAACACTTTCATTGTGATGTGAGAATTAAAGCAGCACATGAAAGACATGCACCTTTGTTTCGGAGTATTTTGGAGCACAATAAATGGGTGAGTATTACTCAAATTCTGTAGCTAAGACTGTATGCTGTCCACCAAGATCATTTCTCCTCATCCTTATTAATAGACTTTAAGCTGGGCGTGTTTCCAGCCTCCCTTGTAGCTAAATTCTCACCAAAGGCATACGAAAGGAAAGGATGGGGGCAGCCTCTACTTCACTCACAGGAAAAATGTTTCCCTGAGTATCTTCTTTTCTCCTCTATCTAAGCAGAACATAGATATACCTGGGACACAGTCTGACCATGCAGAGCAGGAGGACATGTAGGGGCTGGGGCAGAGCAACAAGATGGAAGGGACCTGGGGCTGCTCTTGTCTTAATACAGTTTGTGAACTAAAAAGAGGACTGAGTGAATGTCATTTGCTTGGGATGTATGAGCACTGGCAGATGAGTGGAGAAGGGACAAAGAGAAGGAAAAACAGCCACAGCGTGGATGACAAGAGCTTAACCCATCAGGGAAGTGCTGGGAAATAGGGTGAAACAGTGTTTAGGGCTAGCCAGGGAGTGAGGAAGTGGGGGCAGTTTTACACAGTTTTACCCTGACACCCATCGGACCCTGGCACCTCCAGTCTTTCACGTGCTGTGAACAGAGTGAATGTGAATGTTGGCAGCCCAAGGGCAAAGATGAAGGTGCTGGCCATGGGCAGCCGAGCCAGCAGGTGCAGAAATGGTATGGGGCACTGAGGGCATGTAGGCACAGCTCCTGCAGCATCAGCCATGCATTGCCAGAAACAGAAACACTTCCATGCTCTCGAGGATTCACTGTACATTGATTCTCTGCAGTTTAGCATTCCCCCTAATTAATTTAATTGCCAAGCGCTATGCATATGGAAGATTCCTTTTTTTTTTTCAGTCCTGCCAAGCTCCTGGGCTTTATGTGATACTCATGGAGGTTATGTTGTGATTGAGGAGACAAGGTTAAAGTTAAGAAACCACAGTTACTCAAAAGAGTATGCAATCAAATGGTTAATGGTGTTTCTGGGGCTCAGGGAGCAAATGACATAGGCCCTCAGGGAAGGGGCAGATATATGTGGACCAGCATAGTCAGAGAGTCTTCCTGGAGGAGGCGGCCTGAAGCAGGACTTTATCTGTTGGAGAGGACTGGGAGTGCTGGGGTGAAGGGCATTCTTGCTGAGCCATGGGATAGCTCCTTCTGTCAGGTGTGGGGTAAGCGGGTATGTTGGCTTCTTTGATGGCACAGTGGACTCAGACCAGTGGCTGCTGGAGATGGCTGCATGATGCATTTAGAGGAGTGGGCTGCAGGTTGTATCTTAGCTGGGAGGGATCTGGAGGAGAGGGTCTGGCCACAGGGCACATTACCATTGCTCTCTGTGTCCTGAGGTGGGGAGGCTAATGGCAGGTGCCCCTTGTCACACACCTGATATTGCCAGTGTCCAGGTGGCATGTCTGGCTCACTGAAACTGGGGCCTGCCCAGCAGTCAGGGAGCAGAGGTGAGTGTCCTGGAGTGAACTGGGAGCCTGGATGACCAACACAGGCTGGGCACTCATGCAGGCAATGCGTCCAACAGGCTTAGCAGACAGTAAGCACTCACACCGTCTTGGAAGGCAGGGCTGGGAGCTCCTTATGGACCATCTGGTCCAGTTCCCTCATTTTGAGGATGGAAGCATGGAGCCCAGAAAAGGGAATGAACTTGCCAAGGCCAGCAGAGGTAACCAGAATTCAGATTTCCTCATTTCCCAGGCAGCCAGTGCAGCGGACATAGAGCTAGGTGGGGTCACAGACCTCAGATCTTCTGCCATTCAACTGTGGGCCATTCATTTTACCCACTGGCAGCTCAGAACTCAAGAAAGGGTGAGATCAGGTTCCTCTGCCTCCAGTCATCTGCGTGTATGTGCGTGTGTGCTTAATCCATGGTAATTAGAACCTCTCCTTTCCTTCAAATATCCATGGCTCCTCTCTGCCACCTCTGTGCTCTATCCCAATGTAGAACACAGTTCATGGTGTCTAACTGCAGTCATTCCTGCTTTGCTTTCGGTTTGGTTTGTTTTAACCTCTAGGCACAGGTTGGTTTTGCTGATGAATGTGAGGAGTGGATTGAAATGAACAGATTAACTTCTATCCTCATTCTGTGTCCAATTTCAGTGGGAAAGAGGGTACAGGAAAGACTCTAGCCCTCCATTCCCTCAACAATGAATTGAGGACAAGTGGAAAAGAATGAGGAAGATCAGCCAGGCTTCCCACGTTTCCAGCCCTCTGAGCTCTGGAGGGAAAGTGGAGGGCAGTGTCTCTCAGAGGTAAGGAGGCTGTACAGCCTTGACCCAAACCCAGGCAAATAAAAACTGCCCTTTGTGGGCTTGTTACAAATCCCATCACTTCTCTCCACTCCTCATGTCTACAGATGTGGAACATGCGTTCCCAGTTCTAGGTTCTCTCTGCATTTTATTATCTTTGAGAAAATACAAACAGCTTCCTTTGTTCTCTTTGTGAAATTTTTGTCTGGAAAGGTGAGAAAGGAGGAAGAAGGGTTCAGTCTTCAGCCCCTGAGAAGGGGAATCCCTCTTGAGCTGGTGCTAAGTGACCATGCCCACTGCAGGTAGAGGAGTAGATAGGCCTCCACGAGGCACCCAATCTGGGGAATCAGACCTACAAGTCAAGGTACTTATGGCCAATACAAGACATAAGATGAACTAAACTGCAGGAATTGTGGGTCACCTCACATATACAGGGATTAAGAAGGGAAAGATCAGTGTGGACTATTGCAGTTACAGAAGACACTACGGGACAAGAAGCCTGCAGCTGGATGCAGACAGATGGGACTGGGCAGGACAAGAGGAACAGGAACAGGAGGCTCCGGTGTTCAAGGGGGAAGAGTGAAGAAAGCAGAGGCCCAAGCTGTGAAGGAGTAGAAATAAAACTGGAGAGTTAGGCTGATTTAAGGCTGTATGGATGGAGGCTAGGGAAGGAGCAAATTGATAAAGAATCAGACAGGGTAGGGGAAGGAGGAGCTGGTTCTTTGATGTCAAGGCAGACAAGAGAAGAGTAAGTCAGCACGTGCTCTGATAGCCTAGGAGGGCTTCGGGGGACAGTGATATATCCACATCCATTTTCCAACAGTTTTGGGAGATGGGATGAGTAGGAATGGAGGGATCCGGTGC